GCCCGTCAGCGATAATTATCGCTGACGGTATTCCCGTCAGCGATAATTATCGTTGACGGGATTCCCGTCAGCGATAGTCATTAACAGTTAAAAAAAATTTAGCTGATTGTAATCAGTTCCCTATACATATCAATTCCCTATAAAAATAATCTGCAAACAACGACATTTCTTGCACATTCCAAAACATCTCGAAATATATACAATCCAAATTTCACAGACATTTCTTGCACATTCCAAAACATCTCGAAATATATACAATCCAAATTTCACAAACATCTCTCATTCAATCAATTTTCACAAATATTCGAAATATGTACATTCAATTTTCACAATAAGTTCTAAATCCACAAAAATTTTCACAACAAACCATATACGCATATCATAAGTTCTAAATCCACAAAAAATCCCATAACAAACCGTACACACATATCATAAGTTCTAAATCCACAAAATTTTCCACAACAAACCATACACGCATATCATAATCTCCACTATAAAGATGTCCAATATACAAACACGGGTTTAGGATATATATAACTCACTAAGATAGGTCATCCGCCCTATCCATGTCATCGTCCGCGTCGCCACTGGCGGCTCCATCCCTACGACTCGTGCTCCCAATAGCATCATCTCCACTCTAACAACAAAATAATTTAAAATTAGAATCACATAATATTGTGTAATCATGTTTCACATATATAATAAGTATACCTGCCGGCTACTCTCTTCACTACCAGTAAATGCCTTTTGAGTGGCCAAAAAATTCATAATCTGGCTTTGCACCCGAGCAGGAACCCGCCTTCTACAAGATTTCATTATTTGCTTGGAAACCATCGCAAAAGTAGCAGTAGGTTGGATCCCTCGCATAAGCTCCTCTTGGATATCCTTCCACATCTCCTCGGGAATCTGACCATCTAACATATTCATCACAGAGGATACAAGCTGCATCGCCTGCTGAGTGCAATCCTCCTGCGACATATAAGAGGGCCCCGAGGGCATAGTCAATGGTGTTGAAATCGACGGAGACTGGAATTGTGTAGACACCCTCTGAGCTCCAACTCCCATCCACCTGGTCCTCTCCTTTTTGGGAAGTCCACAAACTAAATGGCTCACATTATAATTCCGCGCTCTAGTCAGGGGCTCCTGGCTCTGTGCAACAACCTTAGAATATGTGTTTTTCAGAGCTTCCTAAAAGACAAAAAATTAAATTTAAGAATTGACCTTTCAAAAATAAAAGATATATTTACCTGAACAAGTAAAATAAAAGATGAAGTATGCATGCATCTTCCTTAACACATTCACACATATAATAATGTTTATTGAGGAATTTAGTATTGAAAATACCAATTTTTCTATAAACATCATTTCTATGATGTTTGGGAATGGCTAGTTTTTAGCCTTTCTATATATTCATCAGAAACAAATAATCTTTCCCCTTAGAGGTCTCACTGTTTATTGAATTGAATTTTCTAACAATAGTGGATGTAATTTGAAGGTGTACTTACTGTATTTTTCTAATTAGGGGTTAGTTATGAAAAGAATATGAAGGGGTATGGTTATATATGTATTAGGTATGCATGTAACTATTTTATGTATGCATGTATGTATTTTAACATAACTTAGAGGGTTCTTCGGGTCAAAAAAGTTCTAACATCCTACACACTTTTGTAATAGTATAAGATATGTAAATGATGATATCTATGAAACAGTCATAAAAAATCAAGAGAATTTTAGACTACAAGAATCTGAATTCATTCTCTTCTTGAGTTCTAGCTATGGTAAGTGTCTCTACTCCCATAATGCTTGCAAACTAAAAAATCAACAAAACTTGAGACATTATGTTCGGTGTTCCTAATTCAAAACCTATATATCACACTAAAGTTCATGCACAAATTAAATCTGACATCAACATCAGTGAAAAAAAAAGAGTATAAACAAATTGAGGAATTTATAGAAGAAAAAAAAGATTACCATTAAGAACTTCTATTGAAGAACAGAGCAAAGGCTCCAAGTGAATAAAAAGTCTCCAACTCTAAAAAAAAACACTGAAAGATAGCACAAGATTTCATACACTATAGCAAGAGAGACAGAGGACTATAATGATTACTCCTTAAACTTATTGCCTTAGATTAATAGACCATGTGCTTACATTAAAAACAACGTGCATATGCACTTAAAATGTCTGGCTACCTGAAGATGTACCGCCTATATCACTTGAGGATGAATTAGTAATGTTTAAGTCTTATGAGCATTGAGCATAACACTTCTACCTGAAGATGTACCGCCTATATCACTTGAGGATGAATTAGTAATGTTTAATGTCTGTCTACCTGAAAATTTATGGTCATTTTCTTTTACAAATATAACACTTCTAACAAAACTCATAATTACAGCATAACACTTACCATTTGACATTCACACATATAATTCATGTATGATAATTAAGATGACCAAAAAGAGGAGTGCAAACAAAAAATTCCCAACAAAAAAACAGACGATAATTAGTTAATCTGCATTTTCTTGGCCAATTCTAGCTTTTGTTTCATATTCTCATCGTCATCGTACCCCTTCTTAAATTGAACCATCGTCCTCCTGTGCAGTTCTGGTAGCGGGATAAATGGAGCGTTCTGAGATTTAAAAATATAGTTATTAGTTTTATTTATCAAATATTCTAGGAAGTGGAGAGAATATATATAGAAGATTAAAAGACTTTATTTACCGTTGTCCTACAAAATTGATCCTCAATCTGGGCAAATGAAGTAGTCCCCGTATGATGATCATAATCTTTCTTCCATCGATTTAATTTATTTCTCTGGCATTTTTTCTTCAACATGAACAAAGAGAATTTTAGTACAAGCTATAATATACAATGAAATATATCACTAGTTTCAGATAAATAACTTGATGATAATTAACTACTATACATATTTACCTGGTGCTCCTCTTGGCCCCACAATACTATAAGTGCAGCTAAGTGCTCAGGCTCAACCCTCTTATCTCGCTTGTATATCCTCTCCCAGTTGTGAGTGAAACAATCAAAGCATTTCTTCTTTAACTCATGTCTCCACTCCCGAAGAGAATGCTTAAACTTTCCCGTGTATCCAAATAAAAATTCCCACCCTATGGGATTGTCTTCGATGTTGAAATATCTCTAAAAATTAAAATATAGTTAAGCATGGACAATAATTGACAGAATTGAAAAATAATTGTGCTAAATAGAAGAATTTACCCAACAATCTCGATATATACTCTCCAGGACATGAAATGGCTGCTCCTCAGCCTCGTAATAAGGATTCACATTATCACTCCTCCGTATCAAGCATCCAAGGTATGAGCTAAAGTTAATAGCCCATTGTCCAGTTGGAATCCCATTATGTTCCCATCTCACAATTGCTCAAAAACCATCCGAGGGTAACTTTTTTTTAAAGTCACTTCCTTGGCGTCCTTTTTTCTGGTAAAGTTTTTCTCCTACAACAAAGAAAAAAATAATAGATATATCAACACTTTTATTTAATCAATCTTAAGCTCTTAGAATTTACCAAAAAAGGAAGAAGAAAAATATTAAGGAAAAGAGAAACCTGAGAATATTATGTTTATTAGATATAGATACAATTATGTAGACAGTCAACATATATATAGAAAAAAATGCAGGTGAAAGGCTCCTAGGGAAAATTTTCTATCTTATTTGTTCATTCGTTTTGAGTAGGGTAGTTGCTTTCTGTGACTATAATTCAAACTTTTGATTAGTCGATGAAAGGTCTTTGTTTAAGCTGGACTTTGCCAAGGCATATGATATTTTAGACTGGGGTTTTATTATTGATGTTTTACAAGCTAAAAGGGTTAGAACTTGTCTTTGTGATTAGGTCAGATTAGAACTTGTCTTTGTGATGGTAATTCATCTGTTCTGCTTAATAGTATGCCTGACAAATGGATTGTGACAAAAATTTGAAATAATGGCCTTTTGATAGACAAGGCCTTATCTGTTCATTCGTTTTGATAGCACCCTTAACTAAGTTAGAATTTCATTACCTTCTATTTAATCAGAATATAAATGCAAAGGAAAAAAGTTCAAAAGTTATAGACTTTTTCAAACATTAGATATATGTTTAATCTCAACGCCACTTGCAAGCATTAATTCAGCTGAGTTGTTCTAAAGATTAATCATCCAAGTAATACACAGAATCAAGGCACCCATCACTAAATAATAGACCCAGAATGAAAATTTTTGATCAAACTCACCAAATCTTTGTCTGATTTCATTTTTGCATCAGATAAAATCTCATTAATCTGTGGCCCCATTCATCCAATCGTTTTTTCGCAAGCATGTATTTTTCTGTATGCTTGAGTCTGTACCCCTCTGCTCAATCCCAGGAATGTATGCTCGAAGTATAACTGGAGGATCTGCATGTAATGGTATGTGAGTCGGCTCTTCCTCACCCTCACCTATA